AAAAAAAAAAAAAAAGAAAACGAGGGCTTTTGAGTTGAAGACCCTGAGGGGCAGGCGCGATAGGCCTCCTCGCATCTGTCTCCCCTCCGAGGCCCTCACCACCGGGTAGGAGTCCAGGGCCTGCACCCGGCAGGTGAGGCGCCGGCGCCGGGCCTCGCGACCCAGCCTCTCCGACACATCCTGAGCAGTGCCTGTCTGGCTGCCAAAGAGCACCAGAAGCTGCGGAATCGGCATCGAAGAGTGCCCTGCGGATCGCTGCACCTACACTGAGAACCCGGAAGACAGCGCCCGTGGGCCCAGTGGTAGGGACGTTCCACTTCCGCCGGCGACCGGAAGTGACGCTCCTAGGATGCGCCCGGCGGGGCATGGCGTCCGAGTTCGGGGTCCAGAGGCGTTCGGCCTGTGTTGACTTTTCGGGCCTGGGCCGGGCCACTCGCCACTCGCCGAGGGCCGGGGCGGACGGGGCCATTAGCCACCTCTCGCTTACAGCAGCGGCGGCAGATTCTGACGAGGCCCGCGGGGAAAGAAGGCTTGGTTCTGCGGGAGGCTCGCTTGGTTGTGCTCTGGCCCGCGCTCAACCGGCGCGATGCTCTTCTCGCTCCGGGAGCTGGTGCAGTGGCTGGGCTTCGCCACCTTCGAGATATTCGTGCACCTGTTGGCCCTGTTGGTGTTCTCCGTGCTGCTTGCACTGCGTGTGGACGGCCTGGTCCCGGGCCTCTCCTGGTGGAACGTGTTCGTGCCCTTCTTCGCAGCTGACGGGCTCAGCACCTATTTCACCACGATCGTATCCGTGCGCCTCTTCCAGGATGGAGAGAAGCGGCTGGCGGTGCTCCGCCTCTTCTGGGTCCTTACGGTCCTTAGCCTCAAGTTCGTCTTCGAGATGCTGTTGTGCCAGAAGCTGGTGGAGCAGACTCGGGAACTCTGGTTCGGCCTGATCACGTCTCCAGTCTTCATTCTCCTGCAGCTGCTCATGATCCGCGCCTGTCGGGTCAATTAGCCTTTCCGAAGTGCGAGAGGGGGAACGTTGGATAGCTATAGGGCTGGACCTCTAACTGAGGCCCTATACTTGCGCTACATCAGAGGAGAGTTCTTGGTGTGAAGGCAACGCCTGCTTGCTCCCAGCTGGGCACCCCGTTTCCTCTACAGCAATCATGTCTGAAATTGTTTACTCAATATGGCTAAAAAGAACAGCCTTAATCTTCAAAATATATTTCTTGTTATTTCATATTTTGAATAGGTAATCGTAAATTGAGATCCCTAGAAGGGACCCAGGGCAGACATTTCTGAACTCCTCTGATGTTTGGAAACTGAATATGAGTAAAATGCCCTGATGGGCTCTTGGTATTTTCCCTGGATCCTGGAAAAGTACTCTAGTACAAAGGCTGCAAATCTGAACTCAAGGATTTCCTCCAGTAGCAGGGCTGACTTAAGAGCTCACTGTTCCATCTGTTCAGATCAGATTTCATTAGTTATCTTTGTTAGATAGATCTAAAAAGTGTAAATGAGTCTGCATCTCCTCCTCTGTGCTATGGTAGAGAATGGTCCTTCATTACAGCCTAGTGTGAGTCAGAAAAATGTTGAATAAGAACGTGATTTTAGGGCCCTATCTGGTTATCTGTCATCTAAGAAAAGAATTCTGCTATCCAGGTGCTGTTTGGCTTCCTATCCAAGCAAAGACTGCAGTTATTCACCACCTTGTGGCTGGCACTATTCGCACACCTGACACAGATTTTAGGTTTCCCTAAGGTATTTTACGTTCATAGCATTGACATCCACAAATGAGAAGCTTGTGAGTTTCCCAGCTTTGTTGGCCTGAGGTCTTTGGTTTGATGCTGGTCAGGTGCCAAATGAGAACATTTGCTGGGATGGAAGTAAAATAAGAGACTGTTTTCCTGAAATGAACAGTGGTCACCTTTGTTTTTCGAGGGTTAATGAGTATGAACACACAGATTCTCCTCACTATATGGTGTACTGGTTGCAGCCTTGAGATTGTAGATGGACTGCAAAGTATGCCCCTGCCCCCATGTAAAGACAACAGTCTGGGCCCATGTTGAAGACCTGTAGAATAGTTTGTGTGACACCAGAGACCTTGTCTTGCAATCGTGTGGTCTTTGTGGGTCTCCTTGGGGTCAGGGATGAGCAGAGATCAGCAAATGCCTGATTTTTTATGGCTCATAAGCGGAGGATCGTTTTTACATTTTTAAATGGTTAAAAACAAGAATGATGACAGAGTAACTATGACTCAGAACACAAGGATTTTCAATCTCAGCACTCTTAGCCTTTTGGGCTAGATCACTCTTTATTGTGGGTATGGTAGGAAGGGGAACTGCCTGAGGATATAGGATGTTTAGCAGTACCCCTGGCTTCTACTCACCAGATGCCAGTAGTACCCTTCACTTATGACAACCAAAAGTTTATCTAGATGTTGCCACATCCCTTGGGGCACAAACTTGTCCCTAACAAGAATGAATGGGCTAAAATATTTACTGTCTGGCCCTTTACAGAACAGGTTTGCTGACTTCTGTTCTACTGAAGCACCTTGGTTAATGGTGTGAAGTTTGTGACCCCTTTGCCTGGGATGGATGCTTAATCATATAAACCATTGAGATACTCAAATTGTGGATGGCTTGTCTGGTTTGTCCCACAGCTGCAAAAACATCTCCTACCCAGGACTAGCATTAACTCTTGTCAAAGATACAAGCTGAATGCTGGGAATGAGTTTCCTTGTAATGCTATTTTTAGATTTAATGTTTTGTGTGTTCTCTGGTTTTATTTGGTAGTTTGCAATTGGGCAGTCCCATTGGTGTACAAATGATCATCCTCTGGGAAGGTGATTTGAGGGGGAACCTGAGGGGAGGAGGTGCTTTGCTTTTCCAACTCTGAAATGCAAAGTTTCTTTTCTCCAGCTTAATAGAATGTTGAAGAGAGCAAGGCAGAGTTAAGGTAGTGGCTGCCACAGACCTCCATGGTACCTACAAACTAAGAAGGGTACCATGCCATCCTGGCCAAAACCTGCTCAGAGTTTTTGCAGCGACCCAGGTGCCTGTTTCTAGAGCCCTGTTTCTGAAAGGTAAGGGGTATCAGGGACAATGTCATTACTAAGCAGGCTGCTGACTGCATAGTTGATAAAAATACAGTGATGTTGGTAGGCACCTGTGGCTCAAAAGGTGGCCCCATATGCTGGAGGTGGTGGGTTCAGACCCAGCCCCAGCCAAAAAATAATACAGTGGTGTCTGTGTCAGTGCACCCCAATTTCCCCTTCTCACCATGGTATTGAGCATTCTCCCTACTGTCTCCCTACTGTAGGGGACACTGTAGCTCCTTCAGGGAGGATACCTTGGGATTCTTCAAGACTTGTCAGCTGGAAGGCTGTACCCTCAGGGTCAGTGGCTTCTCCTACCCAGTCTTGAAATGGGGTGCAAGGAGTTCAACAAATCAAAGAGGAGCATCCATGACGTTGCAATAGAGTGGAAGATGGATCACATGGCCTGGCCATCTGGGATCTTCCCTCACCCTGGCTTTTGTAGCTCTTCATTGAAGGCCCCTTCTGTGCTCCCTTGTAGATTTGGACGATGCTTAGTGGGGCCACGGAAGGCAAGATGTAAGGTAAAGTTCTCACAGAGCAACAGAATCTGGTTTGCGGGCCTATAGAAACTAGGGGTTCCTGAGAAACTGATTCTTTAGGGCTGGGTGGGGCTCCAGAATTGGCGTTTCTCTCGCCTGAGGTCGGAAGACCCCAGGTGGGAGCAGGGCCTGGGCTGGGAGGCCAGTATGTGTAGCCTGTGCGCTGTCCACGGGAGGAGGGACAGCCACTTCCTGGACTACGCTCTTAGCAGAGGGAACAGGTAGGCTGGGTGCTGGCATGAAGAGGAAGTCCCAAATCTGGCCAAGGTCACTGGGGTGTAGAGCCCACTGGTAGAGTTCAGTCCGCCGGCCTGTACCGGTCCGGCCTTCCAGCTCCCGCTCCGCCCCGCCTCCAGCTCGGACCGGAGCGCAGCGGCCGAGAGCTCAAAGGCGGAAGTGGGGGCTACCAATGGGCGGCTAAAGACGCCGGGGCGTGTCTGCGGGGCCTTCCCCAATGGGGGCTGGGTCTGGTGCGGCGTTGTCCAACGAGGCTCTCTAGGAGGCGGGTCGAAGCGAGCCAGTTTAAAGGACCCGCCCACCGGCTTTGCCATAGGTGGGGCGGCATGCACGGGGCGGGTCCGAGGCGCCTCGCCCAATGGGCGGTAGTTCTCGGGGGGCGTGGCTGCGGCGCGAAGGCCAGCGGCCAGCCGCGCGCCTCAGTGCAGGCGCTGCTGGTTCGTGGCCTCCCGCCCAGTGCGCCGTCTGCGGCGGCGTCCGCAGCATGGCTGGTCTGGGGCGGCCAGGCCCGGGGCCGCGCACCGCGCTGCCGGCCTGGAAGCGCGAGGTTCTAGAGCGCAAGCGAGCCAAGCTGGCTGCGTTGGGCGGCGGCGCGGATCCGGGCGGCGGAGCGGCGGAGCCCGCGGGCGCGGCGGAGCGGTGCGTGCTGGCCGACAGCCTGGGTCCGCTGCGCGAGAACCCCTTCATGCGGCTCGAGTCTGAGCGGCGGCGCAGCGCTGCGGGGGCGCGGCCGCTGCTAGAGCACTACCGCCACGTGCCGGGCGTGCGCACCATCCGAGCAGACAACATCCTCATCATCGAGGCGGCTGTGCCGCCCACCGCTCCTCCCGCTGGAACCGCCCGCATCCGCGCCTCCGAAGTGCTGGTGTACGAAGCACCGCCGCCGCCCGGCCGCGTCAGCCGCCTGCTCGAGAAGTTCGACCTGCCGGCCGTGCCGCGCCTCCGCGGGAGTCCTGAACGTCCGCGTCCCCCGCTGCCGCCCCGGCCGCCGCCCACTGACCCGCCCGCGCTTGTCGGGCCGCGCGTGGGCGAACGCGCTGCCCATTTCGAGCCGGTGCGCCGCGGCGGCGGGACCAGCTCCGGGGCCTGGCGCAGCGAGTTCCTACAGAAGACCGGCAGCAACTCCTTCACCGTTCATCCCCGTGGCCTGCAGCGCGGCGCGGGCGTCCGCAAGCTCTCCAATGGGCCCGCGGCCCCCGGTCCCCGGGTCAGTCCTGCCAATGGTCTCGCGGGCTCCCCGCCTGGGCCGGACGAATGGAAGCCAAAGGTGGAGTCGGGGGAGCCCTCCCATGCGCCCCCCAGCCCCAGGACCCCGAGTGCCACTCCAGCCGCGCCCCCTACAATCCCTGAGCTCAGCCCTGCCAGTGCCACTCCTAGCCAGCGCCAGTGGGTCTCTGCGGCCACCAGCGCCAATGACTCCTTCGAGATACGGCCAGCTCCCAAGCCAGACATAGAGACTATCCCCTTGGGGGACCTCCAGGCGCGTGCCCTGGCCAGCCTCCGAGTGAACTCTCGAAACTCCTTCCTGTTCATCCCCAAGCGCAAAGCCTGTGGGGCCCCTTTTCCTGAAGGGAGGCAGTCTGAGGAGCTGCCAAAGGGAGAGGTGGGCTGGGATTCCAGAGATAGGGAGCTGGGGCCTGGAGGGGATGGTGGACCTGCCCTCCAGAAGAGCCCCTTGGTTGAGAAGCAAGCTTGTCCCAGGCCAGCCACTGCCCTCATTGACAGGGCCGATAGGTGGCAGAGGCCATCCTCTCCACCCCCATTCCTGCCGGTTGCTGTGGAAGCTGAGCCTGCTGAGAGCTTCAGGGTTCCTGGTTTGGCCAAGAATGACCGGGAGCATGGTAGGCCAGGGCTGCCTGTCACTCTCATTGATGAGGTGGACTCAGAGGAGGAAGCCCCTGAAGAAGCCAAACTGCCCTGCTCTGGGGTTGGTGTGCCTCTCCAGTACTGCCCGCACCCTGCCAGGCCTGGGCACTTGTTAGAACTCCAGCACCGAAGTATCAACACCTTCATGGTGGTGCCCAAGAGGAAGCCAGGGGCCTTGCAGGAGCAGTGTTTTGGACAGGCCAACAGGGACCCCCCGCCACAGGAGGAAGAGGAGGCTAGTTGCCTGGGGCCCCAAGCTGCCATGGGGTCCACACTGAAGAAACGCTACCCCACTGTGCATGAAATCGAGGTGATTGGTGGCTACCTGGCCCTGCAGAAGTCCTGTCTTACCAAGGCTGGCTCTTCAAGAAAGAAGGTCAGTGGGGGCAGGGAGGCCGAGAGTGACCATCACAGGGCTGTGGGTACAGTATGTGTGCCATCCCAGGATGCCTGGCCTGGGCAGGGAGGAACTTACATATGAACTAGAGAAATGGGGCTGAGAGGCCATGCCAGGTCTAGGACTTCAGTGGAGCCCTAATGACCTAGGGACCAGAGTACAGCTAGCCTGCCATGTACCTTGCTTGTAGGGCTGGCAGGGAGGGCCAGTCCAGTTGGAGCTGTGCTCTTTGTGGCCAGGAGCCCAGGAGGGAAAAGCAGACTGGTAGAGGCAGAGCTTCCAGCAGGCCGTAGGGACAGCCTGGCGTGGTCTGGAGCCCTGGCTTGTGCACGCAGCAAGTATCAGGATGCCAATGGGAAGGGACAGCAGGTCGGTACTGTGGGGTGGCTGGATCTCCACTTCACAATCAGCTTGGGGCACAGCCCATGACCTGCTTGGAGGGGGGCTCTCAGCTCCCCAGAAATCGGTTGGTTCAGATCTTGCCGGGATGGTTGATGAGCACCTAGGGCATGGTGCTGTGAAACGCACTGGGGGGAAGGCTAAGGCAGAGACCAGCGTGGTGAGCCTCACTCTCTGGCCAGCTGTGGCCAGTGGCCTGGAACGTTCCTCAAATGGTTCCTGGTCATTCCAACACTTGCTTGTGCCCTGGGGCAAATTCCAAGGTCAGCCCCACACAACTCCATCAACTGGGACTGAGCATAGCCTTCCTTGGGTACTAGACGCACCTGGAGGGCACTGCCCCAGAGCCTAGCTGGCCCTAGGCTCAGCCTGAGGCTGCCTCTCCTCAGCCTTAGTTTCCTTGGGGTAGTGGCTGGTAGTTGTACCTCGAGGCGCCCTCTGACTGGATGTGGCTCCTCTTCCCTTTGCTTCCTACCTTGGGTGGCTTTGATATTGTGCCTCCTCCCTGTCCCATCCTCCCCTTGGTGAGGGCTTCAGTGCTTCCTTCTGCCAGCTTCGACTGCCAGATCAGGAGGTACTTCCAGTGGGGAACGCTGGTGCTGGGCCCAGCATGCTGCTCCCTCTTGGTGCCCTCTGTGTGTCTGAGCCTTTGGAAGTGAGGTCAGTCTAGTGGCCTCCCCTCTAGCCTGCTTCTCCCTGTCCTGCTTCTGGACCCCTGACCCTGGCTGCTTCATGAAGTGGGTGCTTCCTGTACTTGCCCGGGGCAGCACAAGTGTAACAGCAGTATTATGGGGCTTATGAGGTGGGAATGGGCTCTGGCTCCTGTTTCTAGAACCCCTGCATTTATCCCATGCAGCCTGGCTCTTCCTGGGTAGCACTTGAGGCTTAGGATTGCTGCTTGGAGCCATCTTGGCCAGGGACAGAGCTATGGAGGTCACTTGTGGCTGAGTTGGGGTGAGAAGGGAGGGAGGGCTGAGACTGGGAAGTCAGCCCTGGATTGGCGGTGGGGAGAGGCTCAGGCTGGCCTGGACCTAGTCTCTGTGCCAGCCTGAGGAGATTGGGGGTCCAGATGGATGATGCCTGGCCTAGCCAAGTGGCCTGGGCAGGACTGGCAGAGTAGCATGACTTGCTTGCTGTGACTTCCTGTCTGGGCACGAACTAGCTTCCCTGCCCAGGGATTGCCTATTGGGAGAGGACTGAGGTGTGGGGCTGCCCAGCTTTTCCAAACAGCCTGCTGGCCTTGGGCACAGTGGGCTGGGGAGTGAGTGCCCACAGTTGGGTGAAACACATGCTCCTCCAGCTCTTGGCCTCACCCCGCTTAGACCCTTCAGCCTGCCTTTGGTTAGGGTCACCTTATTGTTTCCCCCAGGAAATGTGAGTGTCTGCTTTACCCCTCTGCCCCTTGGCAGGCTGCCTCCAGGGCAGACATGGGAGGTGCTAGGACTTTTCCTGGAGTATGGTGAGGGCAGCTTTTCTGGGGGGCTGTCTGGGCAGTAAGCAGTGTGTATGTGGTGGGGGAGTCTGCCCCCAGGGCAGACATGGGAAGTGCTAGGACTTTTCCTGGGATACGGTGATGGGCAGCTTTTCCGTGGAGCTGTCTGGGTGGTAAGCAGTGGTAGGGAAGTCTGCCCTGCCCAGGGTATCAAGCCCTTGCCCAGCATGGGAGGTATTGGGGCTGCCTCCCTGCCTGCCAGGCATGGATCCAAACTTTAGTTCTCTGCTGGCAAAATCTGAGTGCCCATTTCTCCCTTTAGGTCCAGGCTTGGGGCTGAATGCTGTGGTACTGTGGCTGTGCCCCCAGGCTGTTTTCCTGGTGGCTAGGGGTGTCTCTTCACTCCTTTCACCAGCCTCCCTCTTCCAAGCGGCCTGGCTCCTGCCTGTCTGACTGCCCCTTCCCTCCCCTTTGGCCTCTTCCCCCCCCCACCCCCCTCTTGCCTCAGCAAGTCTGTGTCCCCAGGGCTCTGTCCTCCACACTCAGGGCCATCCACCCTCACCTGCAGTGAAGTCTTTACCCCCGCTTCTGCAGCCTGGGCTTGCCCACAGCCTTGCTGTGACCTTCAACCCAGAGGGTGCTGAGGGTGCCGCAGGCCATCTTCTTTTCCTAGTGACACCACCTCTTCCCTGCCAGAGTCAAGCACCAAGCCCAGCTGGTGCTCTCCCTTCCTCTTTCCCCCTGTGCTGGTGGATAGCAGGGCGATAGAAGCAGTTGTGCCTCTGGGTGTTGGTGGCTGAGTCTCCTCTCACCAGCTTTTCTTTTCTGGTTCCTCCACCAGCTCTTCCTGCAGGTGCCTGTCTAAGTGGTCTTTCTGGATTCAGAGACCCCAGGAGCAGGCCTAGACCCTATTCCACTCAATGATTCCTTCATTGACTCTCCACTGTCAGAGGCTCTTCCCTGGATGGGGGCCACCTTTGACTTAGAGAGCACCTAGCATCAAGAGGCAAATGCAGATGCCCATGGGCATCCTTGGTCTGGGGTCTTGTCACCTTGGGAACTTGGGCTGGGCTGTGTGGGATGGTTCTGTTGCCTCTGAGCCAAGGCTTCAAGGGGCACAGGAGGCAGGCAGGTGTGTGCTGGAGCAGTGAGGGGTGGGGCCGGCTGATCTCACACCTGCGTCTCGGCAAGCTGGGCCTGGTTCCCAGCTCTGAGTCTAAGGTGGACGCCCTTTGGTAACTGAAGCTGGGTGTGCACGGGCATGGTGGGTTGAGGGAGAACAAAAGGGCCCTGTGAAAGCTGGGAGGTTCTGCCTGGAGGCTCAGCTGAGCCAGGACCCATCTGCCTGCTGTGCACGGTGAGACGGGCAAAGTCCTTTCGAGGCAATGAGCAGGTACATTCAGGGCCAGCCCTTGCCACACCCTCCCTCCTGGCCTGTGTGCCTGGAGGCTGCCCCCCACTCTGCAACATGAGTCATCGGGTATCCTGTGACCCACTGACCTGCACCCATAGGGGAAGGGGGTTGGGGAGCCAGGACTCAGGGAGAAGAGGGCCATGAGTCCCACATAACACAACCCAGCCAAGGAGACATGGGAGGCAGGACGTGACCAGAGCCTTGGGTGCTAGCTAGGGGCAGATACAGGCTGCCCATGCACTCACTCCATCTGGTCAGGCTGTGCCAGGCTCCGTGCCTTTGTGCCCAGCCCCCTTGGCCTCCCTGCTAGGAGCTGGTCATGTGCACTAATGAGGGCACTAATCCGGCCGAGCCTGGCAGCCAGCCCTTCCTGTGTTCTCAGTGGTGGGGGATGGGCCTGGAGGATTCTGGGTCATCAGGGATGACGTCATGCATCTAGGGTGCTGGAGCTGGGGCTGGGGCAGGGGGTCCTAGCCTGCCAGCTACAGCCTGCCTTGGGCCCTATTGGGGTGTCTGTCCCAGACACTTGGTCTGGGAGGGCTGGCAGTGGGTGGGTGCTTTGGGAGCCACTCCACCATCCTGGTCTCTGCCCTGACAGGCCTCTTGTGGGATGACAGCTGGAGGGCTGGGTGGGCCTGTCTGTGGGGCAGGGTGGGTTGAAGGGTAGGAGCAGACTTCTCAGTGCTTGTTTTCTTGACTGGGGGGTTCTCCTTCCTTCCCCAGTTTGCTTATCTCCCTCACTGCTCAGCCGTGCTGCGATGAGGAAGCTGGGAGCTCTGCCCCAGAGAGCAGTCCCTCCACTGGCCATGGAGGCGGGTATTTGTGGTGGAAGGGGCTTAGGGTATACTTGGTTGTGTGCATAGGTGTGGCCGTTGGGAGGAGGAGCAGGATAGCAGGAGCGTGTGCTCTCCTTCCTGGACACAGGCTCCCAGGGCACCCAGTGTGGAGTTGTCTGCTGCCTTGTGTCACTTCAGCTGCCTCTGCTGTCCCTGGCCTGCCGAAGCTACCTCTCTGGGGGCCCAGCTCCTGCCGCTGGCTTCTTCCAGGGGAGGAGGAGGAACTTGAGCTGGCTGCTGGTGTCCTGTGCCCAGGAAGAGTTTAATATTTCGAGCTCTGGTGGGGCTGCTCCTGTCTGCTGCTAATATTCATTACGGACCTGCTGGGCCCAGGCCGAGCACAGCTGAGTGGCCTGGTAGGGGTTTGGCTCTTGGACGCTCAGCCCCCTGCCCAGTGCAGCCTGGCCTGGGCAGTCCCTGACTGCTGGTGCCCTCAGTCCTTCTGCTCTCACCTGATGCAGCCTCTGAAGGGCTCTGGTGTGTTGTTACCCATAGGATCTGAATCACCCAAGCAGCCTCACCTCAGGCCCATAGGCCACTAAGATCAGGTGGGCTGTGGGGCTCTATTGATGTGTCCCTCACTTCCAGATGAAGATCTCCTTCAATGACAAAAGTCTGCAGACCACATTTGAGTACCCTTCTGAGAGCTCCCTAGTGCAGGAGGAGGAGGAGGAAGTGGGGGATGAGGAAGATGATGAAGAGGAGGACAATGAGGAGGAGGAGGTATCCAGTTCAGAGGAGAAGCCCTTTGCACTCTTCCTGCCTCGTGCCACGTTTGTGAGCAGTGTGGGGCCTGAGAGCCCTCGGCTGTTGGAGGGCAGCGCAGGTGAGTGCCCACCTGTGGGTGAGCAGCTGGGAGGTTGGGGCCCAGGCCTCATGTCCATGTGTCTGCTCTTGCCGCCTGCAGGCCTATCCAGCTACACCCCAAAACACTCTGTGGGTTATGGCAAGTGGCAGGAGCAGACCCCAGAGCAGGCCCTGAGTGAGGTGGAGCCCCCACCCAAGGAGCCCATGGTGAGTGGGGTGAGTGGGAGGGTGAGTGCCCCTGGCTGGTGACCAGTGGGGGTTAACTGACACCAATGAGCCCTTGTGGCTACATTTTGTCCTCCCTCAGCTCACACCCGCCAGTCAGAAGGACCTTGCAGACTTTCGCAGTGAGCCTGCCCTCCATTTCTGACCAGGACAGCCAAGGCTGAGCTCAGTGGGGACTCCCAGGAGCCAGGCCATACTGAGGAGCTCCTGACTCTACACCCTACCCCTGCCTGGTGCTGTCCCACCCTCTCCTGGGTCCTCACAACCGTGCTGGCCCTGGAAGCATCCAGGGTTTCTCCTGTTTTTAGGGTTGAGTCTGTCTAGGTCTCCCTCCCTGGCCCTGGTTTGGAGGCTCCAAGAAGAGCAGAGGTAGGGGAGGGCAAGGGTCCCGCAGGGGAGTGACCTGTCTGTGACCAGGTGGGGGCGTGAGCGTGATTCTTCGTCAGGTTGTTCTCTGTCCTGCCTGCCAAGCCTGCCTCCCAGTGGCTGTGGGGTGTGTCTGGGGTGAAGGCCTGTCCCAGCTGCCTGGTCCAGGCAGGACCCTAAGCTCCACCTCAGCTGCCCCTTTTGTGCCTCTGAGGACAGACTCAATAAACAGCACTGACAAAGCCGCCTCTGTCTCCCTGCTTGGGCCGTAGCCCGGGAGGAGCGGGTAAGACTGCAGGGATGGGGCCACTCAAAATGTGGTAGGGATTCAATCTCTTGTGATCCCAATGGTCTAAGTTCTAATCTCCCTTCGTAGCTTATTACCCAGCCTCCCAGCCTCTTGGAGCTGGCATAGGAGGTGGTGAGATATCAGCATTACATTCTATCTAGGACCTAGACCCCAAGTGGTTGAGTGTTGTTACTGTGGGAACTGTAGTGGTTTCCCTGAGGGGCCCAGAGCCTAGGAGGGGCCTGAAGGGAGGGCAGCAGAGGAGTCTGGAGTGGGCAGAATACCCAGTGTTCATGTCTCCTTTTTGGTGTGGAAGGCCCCCTCCAGGAGTTTGCAGCAAGGCCGTGACAGGGCAGAAGAGCTGGGGCAACTTATGACCCACAGGCAGAAGTCTCAGGCATTAAATGCAAGTGTCTGTGTCCCTCCTGGAAAGTCAGACCCAACAGCCAAGATTCTGGCTGGCCAGAGTGTTTTGGTGTGTCCCTGGAGGGGAACCAGCCAGCTTTCTCTAGACTCTTTGGATCAACATACATTTCCCAAACCAACCCAGACACCAGGCAGCTGGGCCTTGGTGGCTGCAGCTGCAAGGATGGTACAGGGTCTGAAGACTCCAGGGTGCATGTAAGGATGGAAGTCAGCATGGCCTGGTGTGTGGCCAGGGAAAGCACGCCAGGCCCTGGCAGCAGCAGCGGTGCCATGAGGCTGAGCACAACTTGGGATTGAGGACTGGATGTGGGGCTGAATCCAGCCAGTGCTTGCTGAGAGGGACCTGAGCCAGAGAGGCTGGCACACATACTTGGGAGTCACCAGCTGTCTCTCTGGGCCAGGTTCTTTATCAGACACCAGGATTTGGTAGAGAGCAGGATCCATGAGCAGAGCAGCTTGCAAGACTGCAGTGTGCTATGTTGGAGTTGGGGGAACACCAGCAGCCCTGCTAGAGAAAGTGAAGTGCTGGGGCTGACCTGAGCAGAGTGGGTACCCTCACTGTGCATCCCCAAGGCTGGTGGGGCTGTCACAGGGAAAGCCACTCCAGACCCTTCTCTTCCTCTAAGGAAGAGCCACAGCAGCTGTTCAGAGTTGTTTTCTGGGGGTATCCACCAACCATTCACACAACACAGGCACACAGAGGCAGCAGGCCAGCACAGGTCTTTACAAAGACAATCTTTATTGACAAGTCACAGGGGTGAGAGGGGTGAGCCCTAAAGTTTAGGTTCTGGGGTGAGAGGGTCCCTCCCTCTCCCCCAAATGCTTGACCTGGGCTCCTGTTTGCTGAGTGAGGGGACTCCTATGGTGCTAAGCCCACAGCTTCCCTGGCAGCAGCTGGGCTGACACCTTAGAGAAGCCCCTTGCAAAGCTGAACCACAGCCTGCCATCTCCATAGCTGTGTGCATATGGAGCCTGGGCCCTTACCCTGGGTGGGCTGTGCCCAGGGCTTATCTTGTTATCTGACACCAGTAGAGGCTGGCAGCTGCCCCTCTCAGCACCTGAAATGGCCAGAGGAGGCAGCTGCTGCTATGAAGAACTAAGACCCTTTAAAGACAGACTTGTTGGGGGCTGAGTTAAGGTAAGCACAGCTAACAGGCCCCATCCATGCCCTGGTCAACTCTCCTTGCCGCCGCTGCTCTTCTGGTCTGAAGCTGTAGCCTTAGTTAGGTTCCCAGCCTCCCTCTTCAGAACACTAAGCAGAGTCTGTGAGCTCTCCAGGATCTGGGGGCAGAGAATCAAGGTTGTCACTTTCCCTCCTGTTGTGAAGGTCCCACAGCCCCATCCTATCCTTCAGACTTGGGTGCCTGGACCTGGTTGTTGGTGCTGTAGCCAACAGACCCTCCCCAGGGGAGGCAAGAGGAAACCTGAGGGGACTGGCAGTTGGGTGGCAGAGCACATTTTTCCTTCCCGTATCTAACCCAAAGCCCCTCCCCACCCTGCAAAGCCAGGCTGGGTTGACTGTGCCCAACACTCTTCAGAGCTCAGAGCTGAAAAAAAAAAATCACATGGTTGAGGTGTACAGGACACAGGATAGGCCAGGACCCACACGCAGCCCTACTATCCTCGATCCTTCGGGGGCCTAGCCATGATGCCCCAGCCGGAGAGAGCAGCAAGACACAGATTGCCCAGAGCTGCAAGCCTCACGTGTTGGCCTGGCTTGCAGGCTGGTGGGACGAGCGGCCCAGAGCCTCACCTTGAGGTAGGCAGCCTCCGTCTCTGCGATGGTCCGGTCGAACTCGTTGCGAGAGGCGATCTTGCGGGCGAGGTTCTCGTTGACGCGGGCCAGCTTCTCTGTCAGCTGCCTCACCTCATTCTGCAGCCTCTGCTTCTCGTCCTCCTCCTGCTGGATCTGGCGGCACAGCTCCTCCCGCTTCTGGCACAGCTCCTCAATGCCTGGGGGCGGGGACGGCTCCGGTGAGGGCCTGGCCCGGCGGGCGTGAGAACCGTAGACCGCTGCCCCCTCCGGGTTCAACCACACGACGCTCAGAATGCGGCAGCTGCGATGGCGCCGCGGCGACCCAGACCAGCGCACGGACAGAACCGGGCCCCCAGCCTCCCCGACCCCCCTGGCCAGGCCGCGCCGCTCACACTTGACCAGCTCGTTGTTGTAGTTCTGCAACGCCGCGCCCTGCTGGGTCATATTCGCCGCCGTCGCAGACTCAGCTATCCAACCGCCGCAGCCGCAGCGGAACCCGCGCCTGCGCACAGCCTCCCCACTGCGCCTGAGCCGGAGCGTCATCGCCGCACGACTCATGAGCGTCATGGCGGCGCGCCGCACTTCGGCTGCGTCATAACCGCGCACCGAGCCAAGAGGAGCTAGGAGCTGGAGAGAGCAGATGGCGGAGGTGACTACGGCGGCGGAGGTGGACGCCCACTCCCGGCCTGGACAGGATATGCTGGTAGCCTGGAATATCGTGAGCACCGGCCTTGTCCCACCGGCTGCGCTGGGGCTGGTGAGGCCCGGGAAGAGAGCGGTGGGCCCGTGCGGGGTTTGGGGGGCCCTGCATGCTTTTATGGCGTCCATCCTCGAGTTCATATTCTCCATCCGTTGTCCCCTCTGCCCTGCTTCCTTCCTCCACCATTCCATTTCGTTCGGTTCCCCTGACAGCCATTTCCTAGCTTCGGCCCAACATCCGTGTGCCGCGGTCGACGGGCAGCGGAGTTTCTGCGAATCCCCGTACCTCTATACTGTATTCCTCTCTTACGGTTTTTGCACTCCAGGCGTCTTCCCGGACCAGTGGTGCGGTCCCGCCAAAGGAGGAGGAGCTCCGGGCGGCGGTGGAGGTGCTGAGAAGCCATGGTCTGCACTCAGTTCTGGAGGAGTGGTTTGTGGAGGTGCTGCAGAACGACCTGCAAGCCAACATCTCTCCCGAGTTCTGGAATGCCATCGCCCAACGCGAAAATTTTGCCGACGAGCCCCAGTGCCTTCTGCTCCTCCTTGATGCTTTTGGTCTGCTGGAGAGCCGCCTGGATCCCTACCTGCGTAGCCTAGAGCTTTTGGAGAAATGGACTCGCCTGGGCCTGTTGATGGGCACTGGCGCTCAAGGGCTTCGAGAAAAGGTCCACACCATGTTGCGTGGAATCCTTTTCTTTTCTACCCCCAGAACCTTCCAAGAGATGATTCAGCGCCTCTATGGGCGTTTCTTGAGAGTCTACATGCAGAGTAAGAGGAAGGGGGAAGGGGGCACGGACCCGGAACTGGAGGGGGAATTGGACAGCCGATATGCCCGCCGTCGGTACTACCGGCTCCTGCAGAGCCCACAGTGTGCAGGATGTGGCAGTGACAAGCAGCAGTGCTGGTGCCGCCAGGCGCTGGAGCAGTTCCACCAGCTCAGCCAGGTCCTGTGAGTACTGTGCTCCTACTCCTAGTTTCCTCCTCTCCCCTGGGTCTAGCTGGCCTGTGAATAGAGCTGGGAGCAGGTTGTGGGGTCTCTACCACGGAGGGTCTCAGTGGTCCCTGTGCAATATATTCTGGTAACGATGTCTCCTGTCATTTGTACCTAGTTCTGGGTTTCATGCTTGGCCCAGGCTAAGGCCCAGATTTGGAGGGGGGCAGCTTGTGTCTGCAGCAGTAGGTTTTTTGCTGTTTCTAAACTTACTGGGCTCTGCAGAGTTCTTCTGTGCCTTTTGTAGACTTTGCAGGGAGGAGTGATGTTCATCGGCATGGGAATTCTCTACCATGTAATTAAGAGCAGTGGACGTGGTGTTTTCTTTTTATTCAGAATCTGACAAATCAGGCAAGCAGATTTTCTTTCTAGTCTTTGTAGAGGAAAGGGTTGTTTGTTGTTAGAGCCAGGACCTGTCATGGTCTTTTAGTGACTGTCACATTCTGTGTGACTATTTGTGGTGATTTTGTCATATTGAACAAAGTGGCAGCAATGCAGCTGTTTGGGAGAGAGTCTCAAGTGGACTGAGGGAATGATAATGTTGCTGGTAGGGGTCAGCAAGGGCCTGAAGGGCTTCTGCTGGGTTCACCTGGGTGAAAGTTGCACAGAAGCCTTCTTTTTTCTTGTCACTTCTTAAGTCCGTTTGCCGCTGTTGGCCAGAGTCTGCACGGAAAGGCACAAACAGTACAGCTGGGATAGCAGTCTATTTACTGTTTCAGAGCCGTTCCTAGGAAATGAAGCTTGGGGCCCGGTAGCCATACTTGCTACCACTGACCATGTGGGGAGACAGTGTCCCTGTCTGGGCAGGGAGGTAAAAGCCTTACAGTGCTCTGTTTGCTAAGTCCTTGGTATGGTTGCCCTTGAGTGTGTGGACAGATGTCTGTACCCTGTACTCTCTAGGCAGGGCTGACAGGGGTGTGAGGCCATCTGGTCCAGGAGCTGGTGTGTGCTGTGAATCTTTCATCAGCAGGGCTTTCCTCTAGACACAGGCTCAGTCTGCTGGAACGGGTCAGTGCCGAGGCTGTGACCACTACTCTGCACCAGGTGACCAGGGAGAGGATGGAGGACCGCTGTCGGGGCGAGT